TTTGAGGCCGAAGTGGGATGACCAGATGGAGCAACATAGCAGATCCTGTTCCCCCACCAAAAAAAGAGAACCACAAAACTCCTGTTTTGATTTTTTGAAGTGACTGCATTTTTAAAGTATTTCTTTTTCTTTATTTTAGAGGCAGGAGGTCACTCTGGGTTACCCAGGCTGAGTGCAGTGGCATCATGCTGGCCTACGGGAAGCCCTGTTCTTGCTTATTTATTCTCTTGAATCTCCATAATCCGCCCCCCAACTGATAAGCAGCTACTCTAATTTAGTTAATGTGTTCTTTTTTTTTTGTGCGTTCTTTTATTTGATAATAATTTCAGGCAACAGAAAGTTGCAAAGACTCTTATAGAAAGCATTGCTCTACCCCCTACAAGCTTACCCCATCATTAACATCTTATATAACCATGGCACAAATTATCAAAGTGTCTATTTATTTAAACTATATCAATATAGATCTCAATCTGTTTTTACTTTTTCCATAAGCACTTTTTTTTAAAAAAAAGATCCATCTGGGTTGCTATGTGTGCATCTCATCTGTTCTTTTTCATTTTTTTCTTGATGTGTTTTTAGTTTAATATAAAATACAGCCAAACGTATACCACAGATGAGACGGCCGATGTAATGACATTCTCTGTGTATGGCAACTAATATTGGTGTGCGATTTGAATTTTGCATTTTTGGTTTAACTTGGAGGTACAACTTAAATATACTACGATTCATCCATTTTAAGTGTTGGATGGGTTTGGCCATATGTATACACTCAGCCACTGCTAATCATCACCAGACGGTGCACAGCTCTGTCAGACCCATGCAACTGTCTCCATGAGTGGGACAGTGCCACCAGCCCCCAACATCCCCTCAGCAGGTCCCTTTCTAGTGAAATCCTTTCCCCATCCTCCCGGCAGCCACTGCTGTATGCTTGGCCCCTGTACAATCGTGTGTCACTTCACGACAAGGATGCATTCTGAGAAATGTGTTCTTACATGAGCTCTTCCTTGTACAGGAACATCACAGAGTCTACTCACACAGGTCTAGCTGGCCGAGCTGATGCGCTGAGCCTGTATGGTACAGCCTGTTGCCCCTAGGCTACAAATCTGCTCCAGCCTGCGACTGCACTTTCACAATACTGTGGGCAACTATAACACAATGGTAGGAAAACTGTGGGTATTCAAACCAGGTGCAGTGGCTGCACCTATAGTCTCAGCTACTTGGGAGGATCACTGGAGCTTAGGAGTTCAAGACCAGCTTGGGCAACATAGTAAGACCCAATCTCAAAAACAAAACAAAAACAAAAAAAACCGCACAGAATTTGTATAGTTAAACATAGAAAAGGTACCGTAAAATACAGTATTTTAGAATAAAATAAAGATTAGAAATGGCCCATCTGCATAGGGCACTTGGCATGCGTGGAGCTGGCAGGACGGGCAGTTACTCTGCATGAGCCAGTGTCTGAGTAGCGAGTGAATGGGATGCCCTCGGATGTCCCTGTGTGCTACTGGAGACTTTATAAACACTGTACATGTAGGCTTCACCAAATTTGTTTAAAATATTTTCATTCCTTGGATATCCACTGTGTTTTTACTTTATAAACTTTTTAATTTTTATAACTTTCTGACTCTCTTGTGATAACATTTACCTTAAAACACAAACATGTACAGCTGTACAAAAATATTTCTTTATTGTATCTTATCCTATAAGCTTTATTCTATTTTAAAAATTTATTTTATTTTATTTTTTTTTACTTTTAAACTTTTCTTCTAAAAACTAACATACACACACACAGTAGCTCTAGGACTTGCACAGGGTCAGAATCAATCGCCTCAATGTCTTCTGCCTTCAAGTCTTGTCCCATTAGAAGGTCCTCAGGGGCGGTGGCATGCATGGAGCTGTCCCCCCCCAGACAGCAATTCCTTCTTCCGGACTCCTCCCCTGGCCAGCCCTGCCTGGGCTGTTTTGCAGTTCACCTTTTTCTATATAAGTAGAAGGGAGTACACTTCTAAAATAACAAAAGTATTGTACACATAAGCCAGTAACAGAGTCATTTATTATTAAGTATTATGTAATGTACATAGTCAAGGAACTTGACTTTTATAGACTGGCAGCACAGTAGGGTTGCTTACACCAGCGTCATCACACGTGGGAGAAATGGCCACTAGCATGTCACTAGTGATGACACTCTCTAACTCCATTACAATCTTATGAGACCACCGTTGGACATGGGGTCCATCACCGGCTAACAGGCAGGGACGCAGCACATGGTCCATCACTAACAGGCAGGATGCAGCACATGGTCCATCACAGGAGGGGAGGTAGCACACAGTCCATCATCAAGCACAGGCGGGATGCAGCACACGGTCCATCACTGGCTAATGGGAGGGTATGCAGCACACGGTCCATCACTAACAGGCGGGATGCAGCACACGGTCCATCACTGGCTAACAGGAGGGTATGCAGCACATGGTCCATCACTGGCTAACAGACGGGGATGGCATATGGTCCAGCACTGGCTAACAGACAGGGATGCAGCATATGATCCATCACTAACAGGAGGGGGTGCAGCACATACACCATCAGGCCCACCCACACCCAGCCACACCATCAGGCCCACCCAGACCCAGGGGACCTGCCCTGGGGGCCCAGCCGAGGCAGCGACCTTGGCCACCTTGCTTCCCACCCCCGCCCACGCCCCAAGGCCGAAGCATGATCAGAAGCTTCCAGAACACCGCCCTGGCATTCCTACTGGGTAGGTGCCCGTGTAGCCCCTGGCTGCCTCCCCTGCCCACCTGGCGTCTCCTCTTCCTCTGTTGTGGCTCCAGCTTGGAGCACAGCCCCACCCCAATGCCCCTCCCCCCACCCACCTCCTGCCTGCCCCCCTCTAGCACCTGTGTTCTGTGCCACCTTCATTTCCTCATTACCAGTCCCAGCAGGGGGAGAAGTGAGTGGGGCTTTCAGGCTAGGGCGACAATGGGGAGCAAGAGGAAGGCAGGGAGAAGGACCCACCATGGAGCCCTCGGCCGGTGCTGAGCTTCCTGGAACCAAGTGCAAAAAGGGAATGACTGCTCAATAAAGGAAGCTCTGCTGCCCATCCCCAAGCATCAGACTGGGAGGGCCTGTTTCTGTCCCCACCACTGTTCTGTGAACCAGGTCCTGAGGCAGTGACAGGCGGTGGCTTCCTGGGCTGTGGAGAGGCCAATGGACCATGCACCCTCTGGTCATTTAGATATTTGAGGAGCATGTTCTCTAAAGACAGCCCTGGCAGAGGAGCTGGGACAGCCCCAGGTGGGGAGTGTGTGCTGGTACCAGTTGGGCCCCAGGAGGGCTTCCTGGCGGAGGTGACATCAGGGCTGGGCTGAATGGGAGCTGGACAAAAAGCACCTTCTGCCCCCTTGGGGTCTCCTGTGATCCAGTCCCACAGCCTCTCTGCGGGGTGGCCCCAAGACTTGGAGCCTCAGGTGGCTTTGGTGTGTGGGGGCCTCTCTGGGCCCCCGATTCCCTCTCATTCGTGCACTGTGTGCGGTGCCTTCTGGATTGCATGCAGCTAGTGGATGCGCCGTGAGCAACTGGTGCTGAGTGCCTGGGAGCTTCCTCAAAGGGGGAGGGTGGCCGGGGCGCCAGCGAGGGGCCTGGGCCTGAGGGGAGCTTGGCTTTTATTCTGCCCTGAGCTGGGCAGATGCGAGGGAGGCATCCAGATCCCTCACATGCCAGGCGCTCATTCTGCATTGTGGGAAGCAAAGCGTGAGGTGTGGGGGAGGTCGGGAGCCCCAGGGTCTGTGCGGGGTGGGGCGGCCTTGGGGACATGTGTCCTGAGAGTGCTGCGGCCGTCCGGGTGGGCATGTGGGTCTGACGGGGAGGATGACGGGTCGCTCTCGGGGGGGACGGTGGGGGCAGGGCTGAAGATGGGCGCAGGGTGTTGCTGTCCAGAGGGTGGAGGAGAGGACGGGGCCAGGAGCACAGCCTGCCGAGCTCTAAGGGGAGAGGGAAGCCTGTGTTTGGGAGAGTGAGTGAGCCCTGGCTAGGCAGCTCAGGGGGCACTGGTGACCCTGGGGCCTGTGTGCCTAGCAAGGTGGCTGAAGGGAGCAGTGGTGAACACAGGCATCCAGGGCTGGCTTGGTGTGTGGGTAACCGTCTGACAGCCTGCACAGGGCAGGACACGGGGCAGGCCAGGCTTCCCAGGAAGGGTCCCAGGGTCTGGATCTTTGGAGACTGGGGCTTGGAGAAAGGAGGGATGTGGAGGGTGGGCACCCCTCTGGCAGGGGCAGGCGGCTGTGTGAGGGTCAGCCTGGGGCTCTCTGCCGACCAGGAGGGGCTAGATTCATTGGCAGGAGGTCGGGGGCAAACTGGAGCCCACTCAGAGGTCAGGGCGGCTGGGGTCCTTGCAGCTGACCAGAGACAGAATCGAGAGGTGTCTGGGTATGGGGACTTTTCTCCAGGGACTGGGAGGCCCTCAGGGCAGAGTGGGGAGGCTTGTAGGCCCCAGGGGCAGCGATGCAGGAAGGGCTGTGACAGAGGGCCAGGGCCTCACGGCTGCACTCAGTACCACTGGGCTCCCCCACACTGTCCCCCAACCACACCAGGCCCAGGGCCATGGGCGTTGGGAGCAGGGGGGGTCGGCTGGGCTCTGCCACAAGAACAGGCCATTCTGCCTGTGTCCCTGTGCTTCCGGGAGTTGAGGCCGCCCTCGCCTGCTCTTCTCAGCGCTGGGGAGGGCAGTCTGTGGGTGGCAGCCGTTTGTCTTCTTGGGGCTGGTGGAGAGGGACACCCTGTGTGGCAGCCTCATCTGAGGACACAGGAACCCTAGGGGTGTAGCACCAGGCCTGGGTAGGGTGGTACCTGCAGTCGGCCCTCGGATCGGGACCCAGCAGGACCTGGCCGGGGTCTCCCAGGAGGTGGCGGCCTCACAGGGCAGACTGAGCCGCTTTCCTGCTGGGGACCGTCCTACGCTGTCCTCACCCCCACACCTGTCCCCGCTGTCTCCCCCGCGGCCCCTGCAGTGCTAAACAAGGACATCGCGGCCTGCCGTACAGCCACCATCACGGGCACACTGAAGCGGCCGTCTCTGCCCGAGGAGGAGAAGCTGAAGCTGGCCCATGCCAAGGGGCCGCCCACCAATTTCAACAGCCTGCCGGCCAACGTGTCCAAGCTGCACCTGCACGGCTCACCGCGCTATCCCGGCGGGCCCCTGCCCGACTTCCCTAACCACTCACTGACCCTCAAGAGGGACAAGGCGCCCAAGTCCTCCTTCGTCGGTGACGGGGACATCTTCAAGAAGCTGGACTCGGAGCTGAGCCGGGCCCAGGAGAAGGCTCTGGACACGAGCTATGTGATCTTACCCACGGCCACGGCCACGCTGCGGCCCAAGCCCAAGGAGGAGCCCAAGTACAGCATCCACATTGACCAGATGCCGCAGACCCGCCTCATCCACCTGAGCACCGCACCCGAGGCCAGCCTCCCTGCCCGCAGCCCGCCCTCCCGCCAGGCCCCCAGTGGCGGGCCCCCTGAGGCGCCCCCTGCCCCAGCCCCCCCCGCCCCCCCCCCCCCCCCCCCCCACCCCCCCAGCAACCCCTGCCCCCACCACCCAGTCTGGAGCCAGCACCCCCCAGCCTGGGGGAGCCCGGGGAGCCTGCGGCCCATCCGGGACCCAGCACGGGGCCCAGCACCAAGAACGAGAATGTCGCCACCTTGTCTGTGAGCTCCCTGGAGGTGAGGGGGGCAGGGGTGGGCTGCACCCCAGCCAGCGATGGCAGCAGCTGGGTCACCCCTGCTGGGTGGGACCCCCACGCCGTCAGCGGGGCGGGCTGTGTTGGGACCCAGGCGTGCTGGCTCTGCCTCCCAGCTGCACCCCCACCCCTGGCCCTGCGGGGTGTGCTGAGTATGTCTGCCGTGTGGTCCCCACCCTAGGCTTGGCAGCGTGGTCTCACCCCGTTTCAGAGGGGCTCAGGGATCCACGGTCTGTACCCACGAAGCAGGACCTGCACCTTGCACAGTCGCTAGTCCAGCCCGTGGGGCAGCCTGGCAGCACATACCTGCCTAGGTCAGCCTGGAGCCTGCAGCTGACCTGGCCTCAGTCGGCCGCAGGATGTGGTTTTTGGGGGAGCCTGTCCCCACCACCTGGCTCCTGGCCTCTGGTGATGCTGCCCTGGGGCCCCGAGTTCTCTGTCGGGGGACCCAGGCATGTGTCCCCGAGTTCTGTCGGGGAGACCCAGCCATGTGTCCCCGAGTTCTCTGTCGGGGGGACCCAGCCACGTGTCCCCGAGTTCTCTGTCGGGGGGACCCAGCCACGTGTCCCCGAGTTCTCTGTCGGGGAGACCCAGCCACGTGTCCCCGAGTTCTCTGTCGGGGGACCCAGCCACGTGTCCCCGAGTTCTCTGTCGGGGGACCCAGCCACGTGGCCCCGAGTTCTCTGTGGGGGGGACCCAGCCACGTGGCCCCGAGTTCTCTGTCGGGGGGACCCAGCCACGTGTCCCCGAGTTCTGTCGGGGAGACCCAGCCATGTGTCCCCGAGTTCTCTGTCGGGGGGACCCAGGCATGTGTCCCCGAGTTCTCTGGGGGACCCAGGCATGTGTCCCCGAGTTCTCTGTCGGGGGACCCAGCCATGTGGCCCCGAGTTCTCTGTCGGGGGGACCCAGCCATGTGTCCCCGAGTTCTCTGTCGGGGGGACCCAGCCATGTGTCCCCGAGTTCTCTGTCGGGGAGACCCAGCCATGTGGCCCCGAGTTCTCTGTCGGGGGGACCCAGCCATGTGGCCCCAAGTTCAGGTCTCCTTGATCCTGGGGAGTGAGTCGTGAGCAGGCGAGCTGAACACCCCAACCCCGCCCTGGGGCTGCTCACTGGCACCCAGCGCATAGCTGGAGGAGCTGCCTCAGTGCGTCCCCAGGCATGTCCCCCAGGTCTGGCCTGGTCCCTAAAGGCAGGGATGAGATGAGCGAGTCCCTGATGCCCTCAGTGTCAGGCAGGGAGAGGCGTGGACTTGTCAGGAGGTTTTAGGGACCCTTGGCGAAAGTTCACGAACCCCTTCTCCCTGCAGCGGCGGAAGTCGCGGTATGCAGAACTGGACTTTGAGGTGAGTCCTGGTGTCCCCCTCCCCCAGACACTTAGGGCCAGATGTGCTCTGAGCTCCCACACGGCCAGGCAGCTCCCCGGGAGCCAGGGGACGGGCAGGGCGGGCAGGGTGGGCTCCTGGCCCAGGACTCACTGCCCAGACCCCGCCTGCAGAAGATCATGCACACCCGGAAACGGCACCAAGACATGTTCCAGGACCTGAACCGGAAGCTGCAGCACGCAGCGGAGAAGGACAAGGAGGTGCTGGGCCCGGACAGCAAGGTCTGAAGGGCAGGGAGGGGCGGGGTGGGGAGAGCCCTTAGGTCAAGCCTCGTCTCCCTTCTTCCCTGGCTTTGCCCACTTCATCCACTCATTCATTGATTCATTTGCCTGTCCCTGAGGGCCAGCCTGACCCTGCCATGCCAGACTCTGGAGACCATGGCCATGCTGGGAGCTGAGCGGTCACGAGCCTGCTCCTGGGGCCAGGGGTCTGGATTAGGGTGGAGCCAATCCAGCGCAGGGCCCCCATAGCCTGACCCGACTGTGGGGTTCGCAACCTCTGCCAAGGCTGGGGAGAGGATCTGCGCCTGCCGCTGCCCAGCTCTGTTCTGGGCTCTTGTCCTGAAAGCCTCATCCTGTCCCTTGTCTTTGTCCCCCACCTCCCGTCCCTTCCTCACTGATTCGTGTCTGCCTCCTCCTCCCGCTGCTCGGGCTCATGGCTCTCCCTCCGGGACCCACCCCTCCTGCACTACTGGGCCACCCAGCAGCCAGAAAAGCAGCAGACGCCCAACAAGAGGCCCTGGGAGAGCCTCCGGAAAGCCCACGGGACGCCCACGTGGGTGAAGAAGGAGCTGGAGCCGCTGCAGCCGTCGCCGCTGGAGCTTCGCAGCGTGGAGTGGGAGAGGTCGGGCGCCACAATCCCGCTGGTGGGCCAGGACATCATCGACCTCCAGACCGAGGTCTGAGCGGGTGGGCGGCGGCCACGCACTGCGCCATGGAGGAGGGATGCTGCTCCGCCCGCTCCTGCCGCAGACGGGCACAGACACGCTCGCGGGCGGCGGGCCAGGCCCGCGCCCCGGCCTCAGGGCGCTCAGACGGCGGCCAGGCACAGGGCCCGCAGTGCTGGGACCAGAGCCAGATGCAGGACAGGAGGCAGCCCGGCCAGCGGGCACAGGGCACCAGAGGCTGAAGGTGCCTCAGACTCTGCCCTCCTCGGGCCGAGGCCCGACGGGCAGATGGGCAGACGGCTGTGGACCGTGGACAGGCCCAGTGCGGCCAGCGTCCCAGGGTGCCCACCTGAGCTCCTGCTGCGGAGGACCAGCCTGCTTGGCCCGGCCGGCCTGGCACCGTTTTTTAAACACCCCCATCCCTTGGGAAGCAGCCAGCCCCCCACACCTTCCAGGGCCCTGGGCCCCTCCTAGACCCAGGTGGAGAGCACAGCCCTCCGACCGTCACGGCCCCCAGGGGCAGGACTGAGCCCCCTCCAGGAAGAAGCAGGGGGGAATCTATTTTTTCTCTCCTTTTCTTTTCTTCAATAAAAAGAATTAAAAACCCATGTCCTGTCTGTGTGGTCTCCCTCTGTGTGGCCGGGTGTCCTGGCCCAGCCCTGGCTGCTGGGGTGAAGTCCCGCCTGGCTTTGGTGTCCCCTCATCCCTGGGCCTGGAGGACTGTGGAGGACAGGTAGGCCCTGCAGCTCCTGCCTTGCCCTGGGCCTGGACGTCTGGGCCTTGGGCTCCCAGGCCAGCGGCCGTGTGGCTCCCAAGGCGTCCCCTCTCCCTGGGGCTCTGGGAACATTCAGGGAGCCCCAAGTGCTGGTGCCCTTGGCTCCCTCCTGACCCTTCTCAGCACATGAGCTTCACACAGCTCTGAGGCCCCTCAGTGGGGACACATTCGACTGCCCTTGTTCCTTTAGTCATTTTCAGGAGGGACAGCATGAACACACCAATTCTTTAAAATAGTCTGACACAGTGGAAATGCATGTGGGGGCAGGGACTCTAAGGGAGGGAGGAAGCCTCCCTCTCAGTGCTCCCCCCTCCTTCCCGCCCACCTGGGGCCCTGCCCTTCTCTGCTCCTGCCTCTGCCCTGGGGCAGGCACAGTTCTGGGTCCCCTCTTCATTGCTGGGGCACTTCCTGTCCCCAGGCCTGGGTCCTGTCTGGCTGGGGGGGCATGGGGAGCACATGTGAACACTCCTAGGCCCTCCCCCACCAGCCCAAACGGAGGCCCCTCCTTCCCTGCACCCTTCTCCCACCCCAGGAGCTTTGAGATGCACGTCCTGCCTTCCTCTGTGTCTCCGGCAGGGGGCAGCCTGAGCCCCCGAAGGGAGGCTGGTTGGGGGAAGCCACAAGGCTGGCAGGGACAGTAGCGGGGAAGGAGGGGCCCCCCTCAGACCGTGCACTCCACCCTGCGGGGCCCCAGGACCAGGAGAAAATTGCACAGAGGCTGGGCCGTGAGAGCAATGGCGCCCCAAGCTGCAGAGGGGGCTACAGCCTGGCATCCCCCTCGCCCCCCTGCAGGCTCAACTGTGCCTTGTCACTCCTCCTGACCCCAGAGTCCCCACCAGCAGAGAGGGCGGGACGGGGGAGGTGCTTGTGGGTGCGGTGACCGCAGTGACCGTGGATGATCACAGATGGTCACATGTGGCCATGACTGACTGCACTGAGTGGGTGGACGTGGAGTGGATGTCTGGGAACGGGGCGGTGTGTCTGCAGTGACCCAGAGGAGATGGTGCAAAAAGCCTGGGTTCCAGTAGTTGAGAAGCACAGTCCCTGAGCCGCAGATCTGAGCACCCCAGAAAACCAGAATGTTTTGGCGAGATTGGACAACAAAACCCGATGAAAACCGGGTCACACTATATCTCTAAAGCTCCTTTGAACCGCTGCATGCACACGCGTGTATGTTCTGCAGCAGGGATGCTAATGCATTTTATTATGCTCCTCCCAGGATACTAAGTGAAATATCACACACATCACACCTTCTTTCTTAACCCAAACAGTTTCCACTTGGCACTGGGGTTTCAGATAAGAGGCTGTGGACTGTGGTCCCTTCCTCATCCTTAGTTACGGAAAGAAACTAAGGATGGCCCCTGGGAGCAGGTGGAGAAAGCGCTGAGCGCCCAGCTCCCCACCTGCAGAAGGCAGCACAGAGCCTGGGGCAGGTTTTGGAGGTGGGGCTTCCACTCAGGTCACCCCATCCTTGTAGAGGGGCCAGAGCAGGTTCTTGGCCAGCTCCCTGACCTCCTGGCCCCATGTTCACACCCAGTGACAGGAGAAGCTGCAATAAAACAAAACAAAGAGTAACAAGAAGGGACCCAAGCCACACAGCCCTGCATGCAAGGGAAGCACCTGAGGACAGTGTGAGCCGCTGGGGTCGGACACAGTGACCAGGAGCAGGAGCAACTCAGGACAGTGTGAGCCGCTGGGGTCAGACACAGAGTGACCAGGAGAGCCGCTGGGGCCTGACAGTGACTAGGCAGAGCAACTCAGACAGTGTGGGAGTCAGCGCTGGGGCTGCACACAGAGTGACTAGGAGCAGGAGCGACTCCAGACAGAGCGCCGGGCTGGGACATGAGTGACCAGGAGCAGGAGCGAACAGGGCTGGTGCAGTGAGCCGCTGGGGTCAGACAAGCACAGAGTGACTAAGAGCAGGAGCGACTCAGGACAGTGTGGTGAGCTGGCTGGGGTTGGACACAGAGTGACCAGGAGCAGGAGCGACTCAGGACAGTGTGAGCCGCTGGGGTCGGACACACGGAGTGACCAGGAGCAGGAGCGACTCAGGACAGTGTGAGCCACTGGGGTCGGACACACGGAGGGTCAGGGCTCACAGTGTGCCCAGGTCAGGGATTAGCCTGTGACCAGAATAAGGGTTCAGCCTGTGGCCGGGATCAGGGCTCAGAGTGTGGCCAAGGTCAGGCTCAATGTGTGATTGGGCCAGGGCTCAGTGTCCCCATGGTCAAGACTAAGTCGCAGCCAGAGTCCCGTTTCTCCTTCACTGTGGTCCGCCCCTCCCAGAAGGCCGTGTCTGTGCCAGGAGAAGCTACATCCCGTGTCCTGCCCTGGCCCCGGCGTTCACAGCTGTTCCACACTCCGTGACCTCTCACAGCGACGCATCACAGAAATTGCTCTCTTCCCCTGTCTCTCAGAGCAGGAAGCTGGCCAGGGATCATCCCTGGAGATTCATCAAACCCTTGGGTCTGCCCCAGGCACCTTCTTGTGGTGAGCCGTGTGCTGGGCAGTGCTTTGGGCCCGAGGCCATGGAGATGCCCCAAGCTGGAACAGGCACCTCTTCCCAAACTTCTGCTGGTTTCCCTCTCTGCTTCATCCAGCTGCTCGCAGTGATGTGCTCTTGGCACTGGGCAAGGCAGGGACCACGATTCTGTCTGTAGGAGAGGACACCCAGACTCAGGCTGGCTGGCGTCCCACAGGCGTTGAGAGCAAGGCTATACCCACAACGCAGCGCCCACACCTCAAATTCCCTGACCCTCCCAACGGGTTGCTTTCCTGAGGGTCCCAGTGGCACCTCCATCTGCCACTCCCTCCACCTGAAGCTACTTCTTTCCTGCGGAGTCCAGGGCTGACCAGTTTGCCAGAAAGATCTTCATGGGCCTTGTGTTTACTCTGTTATCTTGGCCTCCTTGTACAAGTGCCACCCTCCTCAGCAACATGTCACTGGTGAAGTTGAGACCACCTCCTCTGACATCCTCCATCTGTCACCATCAGCAGCACCTGCCCTAGGGAGAACGGCTGGACTGAGAATGGTGGAGGCCACTGTGATTGGCAGGAGCACTGTGGGGACCAAAGGTGGGGCTGACAGTTTTGTGGACAGATCTGGAGCTGGAGATATTGGTGGTTGTGATGATGATGATGATAATGATGGTGACCGTAGTGCCGCTGGTGATAATGGTGCTGATGGTTGTGACGGTGATCGTGGTGATGATGGTGATAATGACGATGATGGTGGTGATGGTGGTGATGATGGTGGTGATGGTGGTGATGATGATGGTGGTGGTGATGGTGATGGTATTGGAGAGTGATTTTGGGTGCTGGTGATGCCCAAGACAGCAGACACCACCATCTCTGTTGTAATGATGGTGCTTATAGGTTTGGAAATTATTTTTTATTTATTTATTTGTTTTTAGACGGAGTCTCGCTCTGTCGCTCAGGCTGGGGTGCAGTGGCCGGATCTCAGCTCACTGCAAGCTCCGCCTCCCGGTTCACGCCATTCTCCTGCCTCAGCCTCCAGAGTAGCTGGGACTACAGGCACCCGCCACCACGCCTGGCTAGTTTTTTGTACTTTTTTTAGTAGAGACAGGGTTTCACCGTGTTAGCCAGGATGGTCTCGATCTCCTGACCTCGTGATCCACCCGTCTCGGCCTCCCAAAGTGCTGGGATTACAGGCGTGAGCCACCGCGCCCGGCCAGGTTTGGAAATTATTATCTTGCCGGCTTACTCTGTTCCTCACTCCCATAAACTGGGAGTGTCTGGAGGATGGATGGGTGGAAGGATGGATGGGTGGAAGGATGGATGGGTGGAATGGTGGAAGGGTGGATAGATGGATAGATGGATGGATGAAAGGATAGACGAATGGGGGATGGATGGATGGTGATGAACAGATGGATAGATGGACGTGTGGATGGATGAATGGGTAGACAAACGGATGGGTGGATGAGTGGGTGGGTGGACAGGTGGGTGGATGAGTGGGTGGATGGATGGATGGATGGATGGATGGATGGATGGAGGATGGATGGGTAGATGGAAGAAAGGATACATAAGGACAATGACTAGAGTCTCTGAGTCACCTGGAGGTGGAGCAGACAGGAGTGGCAGCCACCCAGGCGCTGTGCGTCTCGTCAGCACCCACACTCCTGAGATGAGGAGGAAGCTCCTTCGCACCTAACTCCTATCTGCTCATTCCCCTTCCTGTCACCGACACAAACAATGCCAGAAGGGGAAGGAAGCCTAAGAAGGTTTCCCCACCCCCTGCACCAAGTGGCTTTGTCTCTAGGTAGGCCAGAGGCTCTTTCCGGCAAGGCCCTTCACAACCACCTCTCTCACCCCACTTCCCTGGCCCCAATCCAGCAGTAATAGAACTTGCTGTCAGGAAGTCCTTCCTCGAGTCTAACCTGCATGCCTTGTGCTGCAACGTGAGGGCCCCTTTTCCCCTCAGCAGACTCTGCTCTTTGGTTCTCCCTCTTCCCCTTCTCCATCCTGACTGACCCCACCCCCTCACCGCTGCCTGGGCTACATCATGACCATTCAGTGGGGCTGTCCCCTAACCTCTATTGGTCTCATTCAAGATGAAGGCCAGACCCTCCTGCTGGGTCCACCCGCCTCCCCAGGCCCTGCTTCCCAGAAGGCTCAACTCCAGAGGAGCAATTGCATAGTGTGTGCCCTACTCCAGAATTTGTTCCAGAACCTTCCATTAGCCAGGAGTTCCCTTTTCAGCCCTGCTGCCCCACCCCCAGCTCCCTATGATCTGTCTTGAAACAGGAAGCAGGGGAGGCATCTGTGTAGGAGTGCAGGGCCTGGGGAGGCCTGGGCCTGGTGGGGACTGGATCTG